TGTGTGTTTGTTGTTGGTGTCCAAGAAAGCCTGATGCCTTTAGTAAACAATATTCTCAAAATGATCGCGATGTTGAAATCAAGGAATATAATCGAAGATCCGCAATCATCGAAATCACCTTCGCGCTGAGCTCAGCAACGGAAATAATTCGGTTCTTTGGATATCTGAGATCAACCGTTTATGACCTTGTGGCAAAATGCAGCTTTAGGATAGTCTACGAAGATTCCAATGCCAGCGAGGAAAAGTCACTCGAAAGAACGCACCGCGAGAACTCTCGCAGATCTGTATATACGAGTGCGTCACAAAAATCCGGATCAAATAATTTCTTTAAAATGTTTTTAATAAATAATTAAATATATACAAAAAAATCTTTTTACATGGCACTTCGGGAATCCCTGTAGAGCACAATTATTCGATATATCCCCCCCATTAGCTTAAATGACGGCCTCTAATCTGAAGTGTTCGCACGCACACTGTAATGTAGTGCTGTCCATGTCGATGAATGCTGCCTCAATAGCTTAATGACGTCACATTGGAACGCCGAGATTTGTTTGTGACTCTTTCAACTACAAAAATTCCTTGGACCAAAACATATCAATATTATTTGACAGCCAATTTTGAATCAAATGACTCGTATGAGCCTTCACCGTCTTGCTGAAAAACATGTGGCCTTCCGGATGCCACAGTTTCCAGCCATGGCTTCATTACATCCATAAGAACACGCAACGATCATCCGAAATCAGCACTTGAATTCTTTTAACGACTGCCAAAGTCCGAATTATTTCTGTTGCTGAGCGCCCAGTGCGATGGCCTTCAATGAACGCAACTGTTCGATTATACTCTGCACTTGTTTCAACATCGTGGCTATTTTGAGAATATATGACTGTTTATTAGAAGCATCAGGCTTTCTCAAACGTTAACAACAACATAGCGGAAAATTTAAATTGAAATTTGTCCAAATTTTGGTGACGCACCCCCCTTGGCGAAAATACGGAATTTTATAAAACATTGACAATTTCAATGACGATTTTGTAAGAGTTTATATTTTCAAACTTTATAAAAACGCTTACGAAACACTATTGAGTTTGAAACACTTTCAGAACGCTTATGAATACAGTATATATTGTTTCATAAAAATAGTTCTGTAATGCTAATGCTTTACAAAGATGTTCAGTAAACACTGATGTTCACTGTCAAACTTTTCAAACATTTAGCAAACGTTTTTCTTAATACCGTGAGACAAGCATTTTTCTTCCGTTTAACAAACGTTGTTTCAATGTGAAATATTATTGAGTCTCAGTAAACGTTTTGTAAGGTGTTTATGCAAACGGCTTAGAAACGTCCAAAAAATGGTTTCTTCAACTCCATAATACATTTTTTAATAGCATTTTTTCTTCGTTTAGCAAACATTCTTCTACATATAATTTTCAAGTAGTGTACAACATCGCTACTAGAGGGACACAGAGAAATTCAATTGCTCACATTTAAAAAACCACATGGAATAGGATAAAAGGCGCAGTACGATGAGACTTTTTAGTGAAAAATTGTGTACCTTTGTTTTGATAAAATGTCTGAGTTTAGCAGACTTAACACTTGAACTGAACATTCATGTAAATATCAAACATTCATGAAACTTCTTATTTTCCGAAAATGCCTTCCAAATGCTGCAGCGTTGCAATTTCCATTTTACGAATACTCTACTGGTCTCTATTTTCTAATACTCTACTTTCTAAATTCTCAACAAATTCCTACAAACGCTCATGTAAACGTTAAACAAACGTTTATGAAATTTCTCATTTTCGTCAAGGCCTGTATATACGTGGACAATTTAAAAAGTTTCTTAAGTCGGAAAGAAAACAACATTTTTTCGGAAAAGTTTCATTTTATTTTTCAGTATATATTATATATATTCTCAACAATATATTCTCCCTTTAATTCACTTAGTCCAACGGTGCTCCAATTTCTTCCAAAAAGTAACGATGGCTCAAACTTTACAAAAATAGGCATTCGTGGCGGCGATGACCTCCTCATTCGGCGCGAATTTCTTTTCTTCGAGCCAAATCTTCAGGTTTGGGAAATAAACCTGTTTTGTGAACAAAAAGAAGTCGCATGAAGCTAAATCTGGAAAATACGGTGGATGGGGCAACAATTCATATCGTAATTCGATCAATTTTGCGGTAGCAATTGCGGATGAATGGAATAGTACGTTATTATGGTGGAACAACCAGTTGGTATAGTTTTCCTATAATCCCTTTTCTAAGTAATCGATGTGGATGATGCCTTTAGAATCCAAAAAAATGGTGGCCATGATCTTTCCAGCCGATGGAACTGACGTGGCTTTCTTCGGGGCCGATTCATTAAACAAAATCTATTGCTTCGATTGTTGTTTGGTTTCGGATGTAATAGTGAATCCATGTTTCGTCACGGTCACATATCGATGAAAAAATTCTCATGGATTGCGTTTAAACCAATTTAAACACTCCTTAGAGATGGTCGTACGCACGCGTTTATTCTCCACCGAAAAAGCAAACGCGGCACCCATAGTGACATCAGCTTTCTCATGCCCAATATTTCATGCAGGATATGAAATATCCGTTCTTCTGATGCCTACCATCTCTATTATCTCACGCAATTTCAAATGATGGTCACTCATAATAATATCGAGTTTTATTGATCATTTCTTCGCAGTTTTCGGGCGTTCACTGCATGGTTCATTATCAGTGTTGGTGCGACTACATTTACCAAAAACTGATAGTTGGTAATGAAGAAGTAGATGTGTCATGAATCTCTTGCAACTCTGCTTGAATCTGCGTAGCTATATTCCCTTTCAAAAAATAGTGTTTTATCTTACACGAAATTCTTTTTTATCCATTGTTGAAAAAATGTTTGACTTGCTTTGTTTAACTGCTCGTAACTAAATGACTAATGAACGCAATTGTCTGAAAATTTTACAGCAACTATAAAAGATGATATACCTTTTGCTTATTATGTTTTTTTTGCAATACGCGTGCCATCTCTGTGTGACTTAAGAAATTTTTCAAATTGCCCTCGTACATATATATACATAAATACATACATACATACATACATACATACATACATACATACATACATATACACCCACCCACCCCCTCACACACACACACACACGCACGCACGCACGCACGCACGCACGCACGCACGTACACACACACATACACACACACATACACACACACATACACACACACACACACACACACACACAATATATATATTGTGTATGTGTATGTATATACAATATATATACATATATACATACAAGGTGTCAGAAAATCGGCCGCCTAATTCAGGACCCAAAAAAGAGGAAAAAAGTTGATATAAATCTGAAAATAAATTATTTCTGAGTTATAATCACTTTTTTATGTTAAAAAAATTGTAATTTACTTTTCATAATCACAATCATAATTTATTCCAGTGTTTTAACATAAATAACTATAATAAGAATCTAAAGAACGCTTAGGACGCTCGTATGGAATACAAGAGATCCGGGTTTGATTCCTCGTTTTTATCTATAACTTGCTTCCGGACTGGCAATGGACGTCTAAGTGAGCAATCTGCTCTTACATGTTGTCTTTCTAAAATTGCACAAAACGAAGTTTTATTTTTCGAAGTAATATTTTTCGCAACAAATTTATTTAGTTATTATATATATAGTTTTTCAGTATATTAACATCTTCTTAATGAGATGCCTGATTGAGCATCAAATTATTAAAATTAAATTCGCGATATTACTATAATAATAGTTTAATTGCGTTTATAAGTCCGAAAGAATTTGATGCGCAGTTGGAATGACTACAAATATGATATATGTATATGCAAGTATATAGTATATACAGTAATTCAGATTGAATTATTTAAGTATTAAAGATCTAACTTTGACTTTCATGGCCATTACTCCTATTTTGTATTATAAATGACTACATTTCGGACTATTTTAGCGTTACGCAGGATGCACCACGTGGAAGCATAATCCGCTTAACATCCTTTTATTTTAGTAAAATAAAAAAATTTTTTAATAAAAAAATTAAAAAAAGAGATATCAAGCGGA